ATCACAACATTTCGCGTGAAATCGTATTGGTCAGCGGCGAGCGCAAGAATGTAAAGAGGAAGAAGATTGAAGAAAACCACGCCGCTGAACACTCCGTGTATAGCAGCTGCACTGCTATAAGACAAGCTAACCGCAGACATGCTAAACCGAAAATATGTTCAGTGAGTACATCTTCTTGTTTGTTAACAAGCAACATGTAGCTGTTTCATTATTACCAACGGTTTGGGGTCGTACCTGAATCGATAATTGGACAAAAACGAACCAGTCTCACTCCACAACCTACTCGGATCAGTTTGGATCATTCTACAAATGTAGCCTTAGCATGGTCGCTCGGGCTTGCGGTTTTGATGACTGTTTGCGCCAGGCCAAATGAACTGCAGTAAACAGTGGCTGAGTTGTACTCGTGTCTGAGCAGTCGAATTCAACTTAAGCCACTAAAATGTGCATCTGAAGAAACTAAAAGTACCCCGTAAGTGAAATCAGTCAACTTTTTAGTTGGGAAAGTCTTGAGAGTTCTTGAAAGTTGAAAAATTCTTGGGCCCGTTTGCTTGACTGCAATTACACTTTTGCGAACAAATTAGCTTGAACTCGCTCGCAAGATAGCAGTATCTCTTTTCACACATGCTCCTTCGGCCGATTGGAGGCGGAATGAAGAGCAGCCCAACCTCAGAAGACTCATTGCCACTTTGTTCTATTATTCACCATCTCTGGCTTCAGAAATCTCTGGCATCTCCGCGGGGCTGCATTCAAGATCTTGACGGCAAGACTCGCGTGCCGCCAAGAGCCTGTTTACGGTCCCGGCTTGGACCGCAGAGCCCATGAGAGTGTACACCCGCTCTCTTCGCTTGCACGCGCATCCCGAGTGGCATCAAAAAGAAATCAAAAACAGACGAACGCGAGTGCCGTTTGTTCATAGCATGTTCTCCGGCGAGGTTTTTTTTTTTTGGCGTGGGGGGAACCGTTTTTTGCTCAATGAGGCACTGACATTTCTGCGGGCTGGCCTTCCCTAAATCTGTGACTCACATAAACAAATGACTGGACTGCACTTTTGTTCTTCTAATTCGGCATGTGTCTGTCCATCATCACCAGCGTGACACGCTCAGAATGCTCATTTGTACCCGCATAAAACGTCACGTGAAAGATAAAAGCGAGCGTGTTTGTTTGTTTGTGTTATTTAAACTGGCCTCGGCTCCCCAAAGGCATTTAGAGCACTTTGGTAATAAGGCGGTAGGGTTTAGTCGGAGCGGGGAAGAGCAGACGACGCTTTGATGTACTCTTTAGATGAAGTGAAGTCTACAGCGATGTGTACAAAAATACATGCAGTTCGACGAGACGAGACTGACTACACGGGGCTCCTCTCAGCTGGCCCGTCGTTTCTGGTCCCAAACCAGCATGAAAGACAGCAGCGGGAGGCTTGTATGGACCTTGTCGACAGCCTCGCATAAACATTTCCCCCTCGCAGAAACGGCAACCAGGGAGACAAGAGTTTTTTTTTTTTTTTCAAAGTGAGAAATTTCCATCGACGCGACCCAAACTAAACTTTTTAAAGATTTAAGCTGTAATACTCTGGTCGTTAGGAAGAACAAACGTTGCACGTGACTTGACGCCGTGTCAGTTTGATCGACTCAAGTTTGTAACGTGTTCTTTGACGTGTTACTTTTATAAGATATCATTACGTCGATAAATGTGGTCGGAGAAATCTCCTTTTAAGAAAATACTGATTTAAATGTGACCAGCAAGACATTCTGGGTCTAAATTTCGACTGCCTGGTGACCAATTTAGGGCGAACCACCGCCTGGATGGATGGACGACGGGACAGTGAAGCAGCGCTTCCTCCTTTTTGAGTGTTCAGACAACGAGATGCGTCATCTCAGCACAACGAAACAGATGAAGCAGTTGATGGGGTGATGCTGACCCCTACTGGCCAGTCGAGTGCATTTAAATATGAATATTTGGAAATCCCCGTAAACATCTAAACAAACACTTCCATTTCGGGTGATCTATACGGCATTTGTTTGGCTAACAGATTTATGCATTAAAGGCTCATTTCTATCAGTGTGGCGTACTCTATATTCTCGGTTAGTTGTCGGTTTGTTGTTTTTTGTTTTTTTTTTTTTTAAATAGTGTGGCAGCCATTTTTAAATGTTATTTTCAGTATGTGCCGCACTGCGCAGAATAAATCGTTTCAAGAGTTTTTTTTTTTTTTTTGCAGGTCTGCCAATGGGAATCTTTTTGACAAAGTTATTTTTTTTGTGTGTGTGAAGCGATTTAAAAATGTAAACATTAATGGAAACACATCAAACACGAGCTTTTCTCTCTTTTGGCCACCTTGAATATTTACATTACACTGTGTCAATTCTTCGCCAACACCAAATAAGGAACTCATTATACACCCCAGCGCAATGTAATTTGATAATCCAGTCATTTGAAGATAAAGGCCCGTGTCCAACAGTCTGCTCTGAAGGATCCACAATTCAAACAGACGCTCAATTACCACTGCAGGTCCAAACCGTATGAATTATATATGGGTTAGTTATTAATAATAACAAAAGGAGCTCAAAGGGGACGTGGCCTGGTCAATTAGGCGAGCGGCTCAGCAGCTGATCACATATATGCGCCTCATAATTACCAGCGCTCTGTCAGGCACAATTACCTCAACACCGCCTTCGTTTGGCACTTCAAACAGAAGATGGGCCGCATAGTTCCACACTTTTGATTACCTCTGCTCCGAGAACACACACACAAACATATCCTCAACTACAACCCACACGACTATTTTACTGGAAGAGACAATCATCTCGGCCAGATATTAAACACAAAAAGATTCTCTCTCAATCTACCAAAACAAGGAAATTATTCACCGAGACATCTATTCTTCTCTTATTCTGAAGTCTACAAAAGCATTTTGCCTGGCAGTTGACTGAAAAATGCATCCAAACTCATCGGAAGTTGGGGGAACCCTTAGAAACAAACAAGAACTAAAAGGTGCCGCAGTTAAGGCCTGGAAAAAAAAAATCAAATGAAGAATGCAACAGTTGGCATACAGCGTAAAGACATTCAGGTGTCACAGTCTGGCAAGATTCAAAATGTTGATCTGTAATTTTTTCACTTGATGGGTGGGCAAGCACTTGTATGAAAAAAATTAAAAGGTCAAATTTGCATTATATAGCTTTTGTTGACTTGAAATTTAAAACCCCGCAGGCGTTTCTCTCTGAGGTTTCATTGATCCATAAATAATTTCAAGCGATTTTTCAATTAGTAAACCACTTGAAAGTGGTATATACACCGTGGATCCTGTTTCGGGTCACAGCCTATCTATCCCATCCCAGGTGATCACCGGACACATATTCGAGTCATACAACCTTTCCCGCCACTGAGTAGGAATTGAACCCACACCGACTGCATTGACGTCAGACAAAGGAAACCGTGAAAAAACTCAGTAATTCGTTCATTAAAACGCAATGGAGCATTTCGTAAAAACGCCATAATCAGCCATGTTGGGGGGGGGGGGGTCTCTTCAGTACTACTGCACGACCACAAGGTGGCAGCATAAGCACACATTTCTTTTGGCGAGCCTGAAAATTCTCTTGGCGTCAAAGCCAAATAAAAGGCACGAACCGAAACGCCCATCGATTACGAGCAACATAAAATAATAATGTGACTGCATCAATCTGTTTCTCTAATTGACTGATCAGCAAGAAATGGTTGCAGTAAAAAAAAAAACGTGAACAACGCTAAATTGTGCCCGAGCGCTACCTTTTTCAAACAGCTCTTTGCTTAATATGGAGAATAAATCTGGCATCCTGTCTGAAATTCAACAAAGAGTCGACCGACCTCTTTGGGAGCCAGCTATTTTATTTTTATTTTATTTTTTTAGTCGTGCAATAGCTGGTAATGTCCTTTGAATGAAGGAATGAGGACCGGTGAGCTCCCAAAAAGGGAGAAATCTAACCTGCTTGCAAAGACAATATTGATCGCATCCAGCCTTTCCCAGACTTCTCGTATTGATGACTCGGCAAAATGGCTGCTGGCTGCAATTCTTTGCTCTGTATGGGAACAGAAATCGAGAGTGAGACAAATGTTCAAAGTACATCATATCTAAACAGTGATGCATGTGGAGACAGATTGGTTTTGAGAGTGTGACAGTGCCAACCCCGCCCCCTCCTCCATTTATGCTGGCATTGCAATTGACAGCGTCTGCTGTTTGGTGACAGGGCACTCTGGCCTGAGTGACGTTCGAAAATGACTCGTTCTACGTCAACTGCACCACAAAGGGTTATTGATTTAAGTCGAGGCAAACGTCTGGGGAGGTTGGAGAGGGCAGTGTAAGAAAGAAGAAAAAAGCCTCTGGTCATTAATCAGCCTGATTTAAAGAAATGACACAGAGGCGAGTGTTCGTCCTTCCACCCTCATTAATCTACACCAGAGAGGATGAAAAGGTAATTCTAAATGTTGCTTTAAAATTCCTTTGCACTCTGTATAATCGTGTTTCAGACTGTGTAGTATTGTATTTGCTCGAAAGTAGCTTTGGATTTCCTCCCCAGCCAAAAAAAAAAAACGGGTGTGAGGGAAGGAAGGCAACAGAGGAACAAAAACATGGAGGCCGGAAAGGAAAAGATGCCATGAAAAGAATAGAAATGTCATAAAAGGAACACTCTTTTTGAGTATTCACCTGCTGTGTTAAAAAAAAAAAGTCAGGGCAAGACTGGTTGTGTATGTTCATCAATAGCCTCGTTTCGAGTCAAAAAGGTGCACATTTTATTTTATTTTTTTCAGTTTGTAGCGGTTTGTAACGCCGCCAACATTTTCTTGAAGGACTTTGTTGAGTAGTGCGTGGATGCCTTTGTACGTGTGATACTCACCGTGTCGACGTTGTCACATTAGCGCTGAGCAATTAGGTTGCACATTTGCTGCTTCGGGCCCCCCTAAAAAAAATGACGGTGTCGCTTAGTCGCTCACTTCTCCTCCCTGCCGGTTGTTTTGCGCAAAAACAAGCAGCCGAGTGCAGCCAAAAGAGGGAGGGGAAGAGGAAATGCGGTTCGACTGGGTTGTGTCTTCTTCGAACTATCCCGGCTGCTTTTGACACGCCATATCTCGACTTGGGAAGAAGGGCGAAATCTTTTGTTTTGCTTTTCTACTCACTATTAAGCCACTTTTGTTGCCTTTGGACAAGGGCGTGTGGTTTCCAACCGGAATGCCCCTACTAGGTTGCTGAACACCAGACGCCTGATAATGGCTTCCATAGTCGGCAAAGTTGCCGGGAGACTTTTGGGAAGTCTCGGGGCTCGTCGCCCCGTTTTGAAAGCGCTTCGCCCGGCGACGTTTCTTCACAAGGTAAATGGACGTTTCTTTCCGCGTGATGGTCACGAACCCTCGGTACGTTTGCAAAACAAAAGATGTTTCGCTGTTTCGAAAGGCACAAAGTGTCGGAATTGCGAGTCGAAGCCTAAACAGCGGAATTTGGGAGTTTAGACCGAGCGCGGTTTGTCAAAAAGCTGCTTATGTTTGTTTTTAATTGAAACTACACTTCATCTGGTTGGACGAAATAACATCACTTTGACATGTGGGAGGAGCGTATCGAAAGTGCAGCAGCGATTTTTATGAAAACCCAAATTACTGTAATTAAAACGATTTATTTTGTTATACCCTTAGGATCATCCGAAAGTTGAAAAAATACCATATATACTGTACCCAACTCTATATTTATGTATAAATTGAAGTAATCTTAGTGATATGCTTTTTGTCACTGTCTGCACACGTTTTATTTTTATAAATACAGTACCAGTCAAAAGCTTAGAAACGCACTCTAATTCAGTATTTTTACATAATTAAAAAAAGTGCACAATTGGAGATGAATACCGTATTTTCCGCACTAAAAGGCGCACCTAAAAGCCTTCCATTTTCTTAAAAGCTCACAGTGCAATTTAAAGTCTGATGTGCCGAGTGTATGGTAATTACAGTAATATTTCGACCCCAAAATGGCTCCTTGCTTGAGACATGGTGACAACTCAGACTTCAAACGTAAGGCGATCGGTTTCGCAGTTGAGAGCAGCGGCAAGAGCGTTCAACGTTAACGAGTCAATGTTATAACTTGCTGTTGGTTAAGTGAACTGTGTCGCTGCTTTAAGTACGTTTTCCTGACATCTGATCGTTCTGTTGGTATTTCCTTGAGCGTAGCTCCATCTAGTGGATGCATTGTAGATTACGTCTTATAAATCGGTGCGTCCAATGTATGAAAAAAATTATAAAATAGGCCAATCATTGAAGGTGCGCCTCATAATCCAGTGCGCCTTTCAGTGTGGAAAATACGGTGTTTTGGAAAATAGTTTTGCGTTACAGTTTAAAAAAAAAAAAATCAACAAAAAAATTATCCACTTCCAGTGTTGCACTTCATTAGCCTCATAATCCAGTGCGCCTTTCAGTGTGGAAAATGTTTTGGAAACTAGTTTTGCGTTACAGTTTAAAAAAAAATAAATCAATAAAAAAATTATCCACTTCCAGTGTTGCACTTCATGGACAGTCTCAGGGCACGCACTCATCGCACATATTCTTGGTTGGCTATTCCAAATGTACCTACTTGCATTTTTCCCCCTCCCGCGGAACGTATCCCCAGCTATTTGCTTAATAACTCACTTCACCGTGAATTTTTGTGCCCTTACTGTGATGCCCTAGGGTGCAACAAGATGGCGCCAAAGCTATGACAAATTGGAAAGTGATACATCGTCATTTTGGACAGGTCTTTGTATGTCAGGGCAGAGCCAAGTTTAACCTGGGTTGTGAGTTGAAATTTGTGTCATCGCCGCAAGTGCGTGCGCACACGCATTTCTTGTGCATTTTATTTCTGAATTAAATCCTAAGGCCATTGATTTTTAAGGGTATTGTTGTCAGATCATGAGTTTGAAATGATACGAAAGTGTTTGGTAATCATTGTTTGCGGTGCAATTACAATGCATTTCATGTCTCACAAATTTACGGATGAGCACTGTGGGGATTTACTGTCGTGGTGTGGGAAGTATAATTTTTATTATTATTTTTATTACACGATCAACTAAAGCACAACATTGGAAAGTGGCTCCGCATTTCTGCTTTGCCTCTGAAGCATTATTATGTCAGCTTTTTTTTTTTTTTTTTCTGTTTGCGAATCGTAAACAGAACCCAATCAATTATTCAGGTCCATTACGACAGTCTGTCGGGATTTACGGAGTGTCAAGACATCCACCTCACTGATCATTGCGCCGTACACGAGCTCATCACAGCGGTGGCCGTTCAATTACTTTTCGGTTCGAGCCTCCGCCGTGGAACACAAACCGCAATTACTTTTAAAATGTGCTTTTAGACCGTAATAAATGGTCGGCCTTTCCCAATGCGTTTCCCCGGACACCGCCGCATTGCCACGACAGAACGCTCAAGTGGCGTACAGCTCCAAATGCAGGTGAGTATAGTCTCTCGCTAAAGAGGAGCGGGCTTGGGGGGGGTAGACACTACATAAAGTGACTCCTACACCGTGCTGGAACGTCTACCGCCTCTTGATTTATCGATCGGCTGTTAAAGTGCCATCTTTTTACCCTCTGCGTGATCATCCATGACTATCAGCGCAGAGGGCGGACGGATGCCTAATATCCATCGGCAGTAATGGCCTAGCCGGTTGAGAGTGCTAGAAAGAAGCAAAGTGCGCATCCTATCAAGATTCATTCTTGCCTCTCAGATTGATTAAACTGAGCCAGTGAGTTTGTTCCCGGGACACTGGCGACGACCTCTGAGCCCCACCCCCACCGCCCATGAGGAAAAAATAATGGCAATACTCACTTATTGTGTCACACTTGGGCCACTGCAAAAGCCACATTCTCACGTTTTAACTAACGAGTGTCGAAAA